CATATTTAATTGGTGTGTTGATCTAAAAACTTATTTAGACCTGCAAATCTATCCATGACATGTGCTATGAGAAATGCTCATCTGCTGAGTATAAAAACGGCCTTTACAGAAACAATATGGGGAAAGTTAAAAGCCATTTTCTATTATGATCAAGAAATAAGATAGGCTTGGTTTGTCCAAGTTCATATCAAAGAAATAAATCTGGTATGAGTGGATGGCATCTCTAATTTCAAATAAATTTGGTGTTCCTGTTGCCGGAACACACTAGGAATTCTGTGTGCACTCGTATACATAAAAGCATATTTCCTTCTTAGGGTCCACAACCAGAAGCAACAAAACCCATACCAAAACCATTCGACTTGGCACATTTACCTTGAAAATCAACAAGTTGCCCTTTGAATACATAAATAGTTTTAACTTATCGCATAACACCCTGTGAATACATTTTCCTCATAATCAACATTTTGTGGCAAAAGGCTCCATGGCTAAAATCCACCACGTATCAAAGACAGAACAAGTTTCAGCCTTCCGACTACCACTTATCATAGTATCCACTTTCCATTCTTTTCCTCCATTCTTATGGCAATGAAGCAGAGGATGAATGAACCTAATTAAAACTCTAGTAACATTTGTCAGAAATTAAAACTTACTCATTAGAACAAATGAAAGCCTAGATAAATTTAACCCTCATCAGATTGTGCTTAACTGTAATCAACCAAAACGCAATAAAAACAATTCATGCAGTAAATATGCCAATGACATGCATTGACTATAGAGCAGTGTTCTAGAGTAGCAAATCACATGCTCAATATATTTAATGCATCACTATGAGACTTCATCTCGATCCGTTTTACATAATCTCCAAATAAACAATAACATAAATAAAAGAGTATAATTTAGTAAACAACTGACAGATGATATACAAAGCCAAATAGATTTCAAATACAATTTCAATTGAGTTGAATTGCACAAAAGAGACTTTACTTGCAAGATCCACCGTCCCTAATCCTATAAGAGGGAAAAGATCACCAAGAAAACCCTACAAAACCAACTTTGAGGGGATCAATTGAATGCCGAGAACCACACTACAAGAAAATTAGGAAAGAAAATAAGGGTAGGGACAAACCAATTAACAAGAAGAACAAAGAGAGAGTATCAGAGAAGAGAGATGGAGAAAGGAAAGAGACAGAGAAGATAGAGAGACGAAGGAAACTAATATTCATGGTACTTCTGTAATTAAAAAAAAATGTAGTTAGATTGTACTATAAGGCAAAAAAAGAACACTTGACATGGTTTTAATGCGTTAAAAGTACCTTGTTTGGAGTTAATGACTTAAAAGACCATCTAGCTGGACTTTTGGCGAATTTTCACTAAACTAATTTGCTTTTGGCATGCTATTTTTTTCCCAAAACGTATAGACAATAGAATCTATTATTATGCAAAATGCACCCCATTTCTATTTTTAGTTCTCGAAACTTACTGGTATGAGTTGGATGTTAGTCAAATTTTGGGATCAATTTTATAGGTTTGTTGATAAAAACTTGGTTAGAGGAAGTCATGGGAGTAGGGTATTGGCGTTTTAGTGGAATCCCTAAATTTGTGCTTTTTAGGAAGATGGTAATTTATCAAATAGGATTGGAGTTGAAAAATCGTCATCTGAGATTTGGATTAGATTAGAAAGAATTTAGAGTTTTGCTAATAGGAAGATTTCTTTTAATTGAAACTTGTTGTAAGTTAGGGGAGAGAAGAAGAAGATAGGAAAAGAGTATGAAACAATTTTGTGTGCAGGATAGGTGTTGCCAATACACTATCAGCTATTTATTTTAGATTAATATTGGAAACAATTACAATATTTGAAAGGTACGAAAGTAGAACAATAGGAAAGTAATATTCTAATACTTCCCCCTCAAACTGAAGCATACAGATTAAAAATACCCATCTTGAAATAAAGGCTACTAAAAGTGGATTATGCTAATGGTTTGGTAAGAAAATTAAGTTGACCACAATATCTCCACGTAGACAATAAGGACGATAAAACTTCCATTCAGGGACTTCTTTAATGAACACATATTACCACAACAACAAATCCAGGTGGTTTCATCATGTGAAGTCTAAGACATCTCTTTGGTTTGCTAGAGAATCAATTAATGATCATACCAAAACAAGCAATAGCAAAAGACGATCACAACAATACAAAGGAAAAGAACACTGCAATGGCAAAAGGCAAACACAACATTGCCAGGGCCACCAACAACAATACCGACACAAACGAACACAACCAACACCACCACAATAATCCACTGACAATAACAAATTAAACTGCAACAATCAAAAACAGAAGAAACCAAGTAGAACTTAAGATGAATCAGCCAAAAAGGACTGAACCGGTGCTGAAAACCACAGAAACAATACTGAATCGAGATGAAAACTCTAAAATTTGCACTAATCTAGTTTGAAAACACTAAGTTGAAAACTATTGAACAAACACTAAACCAAATTGAAAACATTGAACTGAAACTAAGCCGGAATAGAAATCACTAAACCAGCACCAAACGATGCCTAAAACCAATGAACGAACACTAAACTAGATTGAAAATTTGAAGTCAAAATTAAATCGGGATGAAATCTACTAAACCAACACCAAGTCGTGCCGAAAATCATTAAACTGACACTAAATTGGGCATACAACACTCAACCGAAATTAAACCGGGATGAAAACCAATAAACCAACACAAAACTGGCTTGAAAATCACTGCATTGGAACTAAATCAGACTGGAAATAGTGAACCGGAAATAAACGGGGATAAAAATTACTAAATTAGCACCAAAATGACCTGAAAACCACTAAATCAACACCAATCTGGGTCGAATATCATTGAACCAAAATTAAACCGAACTAAAAACACTAAAATTCACAGTGATAATCAGACACTGAAGGCATGAACATGGATTTTGGCACTTCACAACATCTAGTAATGAACACAACAACTGATGAACAAATGCAGACGACTACACTGGATGTGTGCTGGTCTGGCCCAACTACTAGGTGATTGAAACACTCGCCTAGGGTTAGGCCTGACTCACCAAGTATCTTTCTCTAATATCAAGTTGAAATTGGATAGTTGTATGTTAGAATAAATGAATTAAAGCGGATTAAAAACACTAAAATCTATAGTGATCTGCAGACACGAACTTGGATTCTGGCTCTTCATAACATCTAGTAATGATCACAACAACCTATGAACAAACACAGATGACTACAATTGGATGTGTGCTGGTCCGGCCCAACCACTCACCTAGGGTCAGGCTTGACTCACTCAAGTATCTTACTTTAATACCAAGTTGAAACTTGAATAATTGTATGCTAGGATAAATGAACTAAACCGGACTAAAAACACTAAAAATTTACAGTGATGATCAGATACCGAAGACACAAACACAGATTCTGGCTTTTCACAACATCTAGTAATGATCACAACAACCGACGAACAAACACAAACGACTACAATTGGATACGTGCTGGGCTGGCCCAACCACTAGGTGAGTGAAGTACTTGCCTAGGGTTAGGCCTGACTCACCCCAAGTATTTTACTTTGATACCAAGTTGAAATTTGAATAATTGTATGTTAGGGTAAAGGGAAAAAAAAAAAAAAAAAAAGAAGAGAGAAAGAAAGAGAGTATGAAACAATGTTGTGTGTAGGGTGTGTTGCCAACACCCTATCACCTATTCATGTTAGATAAGACAATTACAATCGATATTTGAAAAGGACAACATAATAGAAAAATCACATAATAGAAAAGTAACATTCTAACACCGTTATATGATATAAATATAGAAAATTGATATCATATATGCGTTTAATATGTTAACCATTAGTCATCTTTATCTTGCATCAAGGGCTAACATTTTGTTCACATTATTTTTCATGGAGTAATGCTTACATGGACTTAAATATTAGACTTAAAAACTAGATTTGATAATTAAAATCATTGATTTCACTATGGGTCCCAACATTTATTGGGACCCACTACTTATTTAATAGTTGTGATTATCAAGTCAAAATTTTAAGTCTAGTTTTTAAGTCCATGTAACATTACTCTTTTTCATATCACTGATTTAACATTGTAGGCATGATTAAGAGAATGCTGCTTGGTTTATGTTGATTGATTAAGATACAGTTTTTGCCTGCGGAAGTAGGGAGGCTGTTTCCAAATTAAAATCTAAGAAGTGATACTTCAGATTCTAAAAATTGTCCAGTCAAGGAGACTGAGGGGTTGCTTCATAACCCAGTTCAGTGCTTTAAACTGGAAATATGCAGTACTAGTTTGATTAAATGTGTTTGATGACATATGATCAGTGATAGCTTAATACATAATTTCCAATCTCAACCATTCAAAATAGCCTAACAATAAAGAAGATAAAAACAAATGGGCTGATTGTAAGGGTCCTCAAGCATACTACATTAACATTTGAATAGAGCCGCATGAACGGTGACAAACTACAGTAACTCGTGAGTCATGAAGAGTAACACCAATACAGTGCTTTTTTCTGTAATCAGATTGATCTTGCATGACATGCCCTGATTTTCACAATAAAATAATTTGTGTTGGACTTAGATTGTCACTTAAACTGTGCTTGACCTATGCCTAACATGCTCTGGATATGATTGAATAATTGTGGGGTGCAACTGAAATGATGATGTTAAGATGTACAAGTGGCAATACATTACAAGACCCTTCATTTTTTGTGGAGAAAGAAGGGAGAGATGGCACTGACTGAAACCAAAACTTGATGAGCAAAGTCGTTTAATATTTTCTCGCCTTTTGAAATGACTATTAACTAATGCACTATACAGAGTGTTGGTTTCATCTTACAAAATCATTTTACTTGTTTTAAAGTTGATTTGAACGTAGTTTTACGCACTGAAAGGACAACCACGAGGGTGATAGTCAAATTTTGGAAGGATTTTGTAAGTGGTGTGGTATTTGATTGAGTTATGTGACATAAGGATGATTTATAGCCAATTCTGAGCAGTGCACATGAAAGCTTTATTGAGTTAAATATTTAAAAAAGTAAGATGGTACGATGTCCCCTTATTGTTCCTACACCTAAGAGCTTCTCAATCACTGATAACTACTGCCTATATGTACAGTAAATACATTTGTGGTGGCTCTCAAATCTCAATGCCACATCTGGATTGCTGATGCATATGATGGAAGATCAGAAGAATAAATAATTTTCTTATTTTTTAATCCTCAAGTGAAAATTAATACAAAAATGCATACTTAATATTTGAGAAAATGGAATATTTTGAATTAGAATTGTGTGGTGACCCCTTCTTTTTTTGGGAAGGAAATATGAATGATTTTATCCTCA